ACAGAGCACGATGAACTTAACATGATAATGATAGCGAAGTCTAGAAGGGTTCATATCATAACGTGTGTGTTCGTGCGTATGTTGCCCCGTGAGAGTTACCGTGGGCCTCCATATGCCCAGGTGGGATGGTCAAAGTATTACACTATAAGTGTGTCAAAAGAGGAGTGATTGATCCACATGTAATTTAAGGTTTTTGAAATATGTAGTTAAATTAAACACGATTTTTCATATAGTTACGCGAATGATGGGAAATAAAAGATATAGATGGGGTGTGGTGGAAGCCCTGTAAACGTTGTGTGCATTCACTGGGGGGTTTGGAAGTGTTTATTTCCATTCATATTTTCGTAACTACAACCTATGGTAATTTTTCTTCGTGTTCATATATAATGAAGATAATGCAGAGTATAAAATGCCATATACAATATTTATACATAATATCATCTATAGAGCTGTACTATGACTGTGTGTTCGTGCGTGTGTTGCCTCGTGATAGAGTGGGCCCCCGTCCAGAAAGGACACTGTACTAACCTCCATCACCGACCCAGGTGGGCTAGAGAATTTGGTTTCCGAGTGTACCTGACTTAAGTTGTCTACTGTGTAAGTCCTCGAACTGAGAATCTATGAAATTTTCACAGCTAGCTAAGGAGTCTGTAGGTGTTAACTCAATTTGGCTAATTTGTGGTAATTCTCCACCATCAGTTGTCATTAGCTCCTGCGAATTTATAGATAACTGACCATCTGAGTCTGAGTCACTAATTTCCTGTTTGAAACCCAAAATTTTTGGAACAGGGTCCATAAATAGGGATACTATATTTATCACTTCACTTGCAGCATAACACTCGCTAAGTTGCCCACTCAAAGATAAATGCAAAAATATTTATAATTAATTATGGAAATGAAGAGAAAGAAAATTTAAATTATTAAAAAGTATTAAATAGTACATATACTTTATGTAAGTCCTCTCTTACATCATAAATGTGTTTATCTAGTTTTGCTTTTAGGCACTTTTGCATACAGTTTATTTATATTAACTATTTATGAAGACTTCTGGAAGTTCACTTGTGTTTGTGTAGTCTGTATAATAATGATTGTTTGTGATCTACCTGACAGAAGAATCCGTAGAATTTCGACGCCGGATGGTGACGTCAGAAGTCGATGACGTCCTACTCTAGGAAGGATGACATCACACGTCTTGTGGTGATCAACCTGGGGGGCTTTTACCTTTCTTATCGCGATCAATCTTGGGCTGACCTTTCTTGCAGCAATCATCCTGAGGGCTGACCTTTCTTGCGGCGAATAACTTGGGCTGACCTTTCTTGTGGTGATCAACGTGGGGGCTGACCTTTCTTGCGCGCTGGAGAAGCTTGATTGTTTAAGCAAGTGATTGCGTGCTTGTCTGGAACCATGATGCCAACCTTCCCAGTACTCCTGTGTTGTAGTGCTTGTTGCTGGTTGGCTGGCTATCTGGTTGGCTGGTCGTTAGCTGGCTGCTACTGTACACTAAGACAACATTCGGGTGGGCTCTGTTGATCTCGGCTCCAGTCGGGTGATCATGAGTTGTGAGCTGGTGCTGGGGGGTTTGGTTGCTATGCCCACAAGTCTTAATGTCACTCTTTAAGTGACTGGGTTTGATGTAAACACTTATAGCTGTTTTCTTGGGTTTATTATAGAAGCAGCTATATACACAGATATAATCTGAGAGAATATATTCTGAAATCTCTCTAGGGAAGTGTTGTGAATACACTTTGAGATAACACTTTAGTTACGTGTCTGACTTCCCTGTTCATGTGGTAAGAAACAATTGGTCTCTCTCTCTCTGTCTGAGAGCAAGGCGTGGGAGCGAGCTAGATGTTTTGATTAATCAACTGACCTGCGCTCGACCTTTGAGAGTGTTGCCAGCCCAGCTGTCTGTTGTCATCAAAAACAGGTTGACTCACTTGTTGAATAACTTGATGAATAAGTTGGTGTGATACATTTGGGTGAATATATATATATAAAGCAAAGATGCTGTTTCACACGTGTTCCACATTGACATGATCAACTTACTAACATTCTTGATCTTTGTTTTACCTCTAACCCCTCACACTATTCTTACTCAATTTCTGCCCCCTTTGGGTTTTCCGATCAAATCTTATTACTATTAAATCAAAATAGGTACGACTACCTCCCCCACTTCCCCTAAACGTCAACTATGGTACTATCGGAGGGCAAACTGGCAATCCTTGCGAGAATTCTTCTGCGAATTTCCTTGGGATGACTGTTGCTTTTCCACTCGGGACGCCTCGGTATGTGCTCACAGCATTGCTGGGGTTATACAGGGTGGTATGAGTGCATTTATCCCATCTTCTACCAAAGCTTTCACTTTACAACCATGATTTGATCGCTCCTGTTCTCTTACATGTAGGGTGAGAGATAGGGCATATCAAGTTATGAAACTATCTTCTTCTTCTATTACCCACTCCTCTTTTCATTACGTCTAGGAATCGTTGTAAGGCTGTTCTTCAAAGGGCCAAGTGGAATTTTATAAAAATAAAGACCGCTGTTCTGACTAACTCTTCTTCTAGTAAATCCTTCTGGTCCGTAACAAAAAACATCTGCAATAACTTCTGCACTTATCTTTTCTTCCTATCTTTTGACTGAATTACTCGATAGCCAACTCTCCCCTTAATAAAGCCAATCTCTTTGGCACCATATTCTCCTCTAACTCCACCATAGACGATTCTAACTTTATCCCTCCTGCTCCTCCTACTGAACCTATGCACTTTCCTATAATCTCCCCTCGTACGGTTGCTCGTGTGTTATCCAGGTTGGATGTGAGTAAGGCGCATGGGCAGGACGGAATACTCCCTCGTGTTCTGAGGAAGTGTATTGAAATTCTAGCCCAGGTGCTTACTAGCCTCTTTCGTTTTTGCCTCAAAAGACAAATTGTCCTCTCTTCTTGGAAGTATGCACAAGCCATTTTATTCTGTCTACCGCCAGATGATTTTATTTAGCTTTGGGTAACCTCCAGCAGCCAAAGGGTTAATGAAAGGGAAAAAGACAATTTGAGTTTGCATACTTAGCCCCAAAACATTTCTTGTTGTAACTTCTAGTTACAACAAGGACCATTCACCAGTCATTATAACAGATAAACAGAGGTAACAATCTATATATATATATATATATATATATATATATATATATATATATATATATATATATATATATATATATATATATATATATATATATATAAAACAAAGAAGTATGTCTGTGCGTTTGTGTGTGTGTGTGTCCGCACGAGAATCTCGGAAACTTCTTTACTGATCTGTAGTGATGATGGATGGTGTTATATGTATGATGATGGATGGTGTTATAAGTAGTGATGATGGATAGTGTTATATGTAGTGATGATGGATATTGGATAATGTTTTATGTATTGATGATGGGTGGTGTTATATGTAGTGATGATGAATGATGTTAGATGTAGTGATGATGGATGATGTTATATGTAGTGATGATGGATGTTGTTATATGTAGTGATGATGGGTGGTGTTATATGTAGTGATGATGGATGTTGTTATATGTAGTGATGATGGGTGGTGTTATATGTAGTGATGATGGATGGTGTTATATGTAGTGATGATGGATGGTGTTATATGTAGTGATTATGGATGATGTTATATGTCGTGATGATGGGTGGTGTTATATGTAGTAATGATTAGACAATAAAATAATAACAGTTTAATGCTAAAAAAATTTACTTTGCTGTACTGTAGTAGTAGTGAAAACATGGTGGAACTTACATACACCGTTAATGAACTATTGATGAAAGAAGAAGTTTTGGGGACTGAACAGTGAGACAATGTGGAGCCTCCCGGGGGGGGGCGTCCTACCATGGCCTAGCGAATGAGCCGCCCGTCTGTTTGTGGGTGGGTTTGTTTGTTTGCTTGTTCAATGAGAATGTCGGAAACTACTTTACCGATCTGTAGTGATGATGGATGGTGTTATTATGTAGTGATGATGGATGGTGATATATGTAGTGATGATGGATGATGCTATGTGTAGTGATGATGGATATTGTTATATGTAGTGATGATGGATGGTGTTATATGTAGTGATGGTGGATGGTGTTATATGTAGTGATGATGGATGATGTTATATGTAGTGATGATGGGTGGTGTCATATGTAGTGATGATTAGACAATAAAATAATAACTTTTTAATGCTAAAAAAATATACTTTGCTGTACTGTTGTAGTGAAAAACATGGTGGAAGAAGTTTTGTGGACCGAACAATGAGACAATGTGGAGCCTCCCAGAGGGTGGCGTCCTACCGTTGCTTATTGGATTTGCCGCCCAGAGGGAGGCGATTCTCCTAGTATTATATAAATCTTAAAAAAAAAAACCCTAAGTTCTACATATCCGCAAAATTTGCATCTTCTAGATGAGGATGGAGATGTGGATGTGAAAATTTTGCTGATACTCCTCACAGATGCTGATATGGAGTTCCAACTTTACACTACATCAATGTAAATATGTAATTACAATTTATATTTGTGTCATTTTATTTTTTATGTGTAATAATTTCTTTTGCATTATAGCATAATTTTTGTATTGAAGTATTCATTTCTCACAATATCTTCATATATAACTAATTATAACTGATGTCTTTAAAACATAATGGACGAAAATTGATGGCCGTAGCTCGAATGAAAACCATATAATGATGAAAATTTTAGTAATTTGCTTTACCGTAAAGAAACATTTTTCTAATTGCAATGTGATTTCCCAACGATAAGGATAACAGTGAAATGTTTATGATCTTACCTAAAAAAATGCAATTACCCTACTCTGCCCTGTCTCCTGGGATACACACAGAACAAGTAAGTTTAGCGGAAGTGATGTTTACCTGCCAGGACTGTACAAGTGAATTTGTATACTGTATTGATTTTTAATAGTTCATTTCTAACCTAACCTAACCTAACCTAACGTATCCTAACCGAACCTAATTTAACCTACCAGAGGCATGAACGGTTTAACGAAACCCAGGACGTCGTTGGAAAGAGTTGGTCTGATCATGAATATGGCATAGAAGTCATTGTAGAAGGGCACTGTGAGGTCTACCACGGACTCTCTTTCGTCCGTGGCGAAGAACGGACCCAATGCAAACTCGACCTCCTGGAGAGAGAGAGAGAGAGAGAGAGAGAGAGAGAGAGAGAGAGAGAGAGAGAGAGAGAGAGAGAGAGAGAGAGGGAGAGAGAGAGAGGGGATATCAATATAAGGTGTCTATGGTTTAGGATCACAGGGAAGCAGGAGCAAATATTTCCCTGTGCACGATATTTTTACTTTGAAAACACGATGCAAGGTAACAATAACAAGAAAAAACAGGAACACATAAACACAGCATATCATTCGAACATTATAGAAAAGCAAACAAACATCTTTACACTTTTATAATAACTAAATATTTACACCATATATCAATTATACCTTGGGTAAGTCTCGTAGCAGCACTCACCTCCCTCATTAACATGCCGACCATCCCCTTGTAAGAACCGTTTGGGAACCGTGCAGACCATAAGCCATCAGGAGGACGCACCAGCTCGTAACTCAAGAAGGAATGCGTGGGATAAACTGTCTTATGGATCAAGTGATGGCATTTCATTTTTCATGCACTTTTAACTTTTATTTTTATCTGAGATACCAAGACTTAAAAATTCATATGTTAAGAGTCTTCCTTGAGTGGTGTTGTAAGAACTTATTCAACAGACATTCTGAGAGAATATATATAAATACATAACAATAATCTGATAGAACATTATATACATTAAAGCATACATTCAAAGAAACACACACACTACTACTACTACTACTACTACTACTACTACTTTCTTTTCACTCGGAATCGAGTATGACGATCATCCAGTTATGAATTGACTAAAGAGGACAATACGAGCCGGCAGGGTCGTTCACAGATGCTGCATGTGTGGAGGGCTACAACTTGTGAGAGGAGAGGCGGCGGCAGCGTCTTTCCGGCGTTGGCGCTTGTCTGCCTCGGTATGCAGTCGGGCTAACTCGAAAGTATTGACACCTTCTTTTGTGATGCTCCGCCAAGTGTTACGGTGTGGAGTAATCGTCTCCCAGGTGATTGGGTCGATTTGTCACTTTTTCAGGTTTATCTTAAGAATATCCTTATATCTTTTCAATTGCCCGCCAGCCATACAGTTACTGTTCTTTAGGTGGCTGTAAAATAGCTGCTTTGGCAGTCTACTGTAGTCCAAGCAGGTAACATGGCCACTTGGCCAGTGCAGCGTAGTTGTTCATGGATAATGATAGCCTCGATGCTCCTACAGTTGGTGTCAGTGAGAATACTGGTATTTGTTCTCTTGTCTTCCTAGCAAACTTGGAGGATGGAACATAGACTACGTTGGTGAAAGTTTTCAATTGCCTTGAGGTGCCTCCTGTATGGCACCCATTTCTCGCTGCCATATAGCAGGATGGGAAGGACCACAGTTCGATATACGTGCAACTTTGTAGATAATTTCAGCTCCCTAGATATGAAGACACGGGTATGGAATCTGCCAAAAGCTTCAGATGCACATTTGACCTCATGTTGAATCTCTTCATCGTTGTCCACAGTGGTGGACAGGTGGGAACCGAGATACCGAAAGTGGGTAACATTAGAGAGGGTTGAACCGAGAGCAGGCTGAAAGAGAATAGGAGTCTTACATACATTCACCTCTAGGCCGAAGTGTGCATGGACATCTGCATAGGTGTCCAAGATCTCCTGTAGGTTGTGTTCAGTGTGAGCGACACTACATACTAAAGTTCATTAATAGAAGCTGCCGACATCCTTGTTCCTGCCTGGAGTTGTCTTATGTTAAAAAGACCCTTCTTCCGGTACTGGATTTATACCACGCCAGCTAACTTGCCAGTGGCACGAGTAAGACAGGCAGCCAAAGAAATGGAAAAGAGAGTCGATGCTAGTGCATATACAGAACTTTTCTTACCACCATTTTGATAGGGAAGAACTCAGCCAAAATGGCTGAGGGTCCGCCAGAGGGCTTCCCTGTTTACCGAATCGAAGGTCTTGGTTAGGTCGATGAAGGCCATCTATAGGTCACGACGATGTTCTCTGCACTTTACCTGTATCTGGCGGGCAGCAAAGATCATGTCACTGGTGCCACGTAATGGTCTAAGGCCAGATTGAGATTCTGGGAGGAAGTTTTCTGCCTATAAACGAAGTCTGTTTAGGAGGACTCGAGCTATAATCTTGCCAGCTATGGACAGCAGCGAGATCCTGTGGTAGTTGTCAAAGTCTGACCGGTCTTCCTTGGTCTTATAAATATTGATGATGTAGGTGTCTTTAAGAGCTTGGGTGAGTTCCTCCTTTTCCCATGTATTCTAAAAGAGCGACTGGAAAAGGCTGGTAAGCGAAGGTCCTCCTGCTTTATACACTTCGGCTGGGGTTCCATCGTGCCCTGAGGCTTTGTTATTTTTTATTTGTTTGATGGCAGTAGCTACCTAATCCAGGGATGGTGGATAGCTGAGATGGGTCCCCTCTGGATGCTTAGGAACCTACTGGGTAGTCAGGGCATCCACATCGGTGTTTCGGTTGAGCAGCGAAAGGTTGTGCTCTTTCCCAAACTGCAACATCAGTGATTGGTCCATAAAATGGCTTAGTGAAATTAAAAAATTCGGTCATCTTGTGTTGATCAGCAAGTTTTTGTGTTTCACATGCTTTATTTTTAAACCAGTCGTTCTTTAGATTGTGAAGTTCGCTCTGGGCTGCTGCTTTCTTCTTGTGGAAGGTATCAGCTTTGGTCCGAGACTGAAGGTTGTTCGGCCAGTCAGTTGAAGCATCACCTTTATCAGTGACGAGTACATTTATTTCCGAGTCATTTTCATCAAACCATTGCTGGTATATTATTTCGATCTGGCTGAGGGTCGAAAATATCCCATTCGGCACTGGGATTTGGGTTGTTTGTTTTCGGGGTGTTTATCAGACTATGTTCGAGCTGCTCTCTGAAAGCAAATGCTACCTCTGTATTCTCCAGATGCTTAGTGTTAAAATCTCTTCTGGAAGATTGCTGCCTTCGCCATTTTTGGGAGACATGAAGTGAGAGCTTGGCTTTCACGAGCCGATGATCAGTGTTACAGTGATTTGAGGACATCTCGGCGATCTCTTTCCCTGACAATAATGTTTTCAATGATTTGCTTGTGTTTGGATCGTGGGTGTTGCCACGAAACCTTCAACTTGTCAGCCTGCCTAAACACGGTATTGGTGATAGTGAGGTTGTGTGCAGCACACTTGCTGAAGAGGAGTAAGCCGTTGGGATTACGCTTGCCCCCTTCTATTTCTCGCTTTGGTTCCCTGCCAAATGTCACCTTCTCTGCCAACTCTGGCATTGAAGTCACCAAGATGCACAACCTTATCTTCTCTGGGAATAGAGGTTAAAACTGTGTCGAGGTCGGCATAAAAGGCCTCCATGATGTTATCCTCTGCATCCACTGTTGGGGCGTATGCACTGATGAAGAAGGCATGACGTTAGTGATTCAGTGGGACTCGGAGCATCATGTGGCGCTTGATAAACCCAACAGGCATTTCAGTTAGCCTGTGTAGGATGCGCTGGAGGATGGCAAAGCCAACTCTATAAATGCGGTTTCTCTCCACATCAGGCTTACCCTTCCAGAAGAAGGTATACACAAACCCTCGTTGCGTGAGTCGACCCTCGTCCGGAAGCCGGAACTCACTAATGGCTGTTATGTCGATGATATACCCAACCAGCTTTTTTGCCACAAAGTTGGTTCTTCTTTCAGGATGCTCTTTGTGCCAGTATCCAGCAGGGTCCTGACATTCCATGCAGCGAGCATAAGAGCTTGTATATATGACCTTTCTGAGTGCGGTTGCCCACTCAGGTTGTTTCTTTAGGCAGGTTATGTTTTGGGTACCTTTTCTAGCCCCCCCCCCCCATGTGTGGTGAGCAAAGTGGCTTTTCGAAAGGGCTGCTCTGTTGCACAGACAGGACTGAATTGCACTGCTGCCTAAATTCTAGTGTCTAAACGACCACCTTATCTATGCCGCCCATGTGCAGAATTATGGCTAGAGACTCCCGGCAGTCATCTTTGCTTGTCCCCGTCGACACTCGTCTGTAGCCATAGGACTTATGGGGGTATAGGGGTTTTGATGATAATGAGAAGTATGACGAATTGGATGATGGTTGTACGTGAGTTGATTTATGTGGTGAGGCAGGAGTGCAGGTTGCAACCACACATCTTGGCTCTCCGTTTTCCTGATCCAGTGCTGCAAGTGTGGCAACGACTGGGGAGAGGGAGAGATGCAATGGAATGCCGATAGCCCAGTTTCTTGAGGTTCGCCTTAGTAGTCTGTCCATCATGCATTGCCTTCGTCCGCCGGTGTATTCGTTGGGTTCCCTGGTGGTAAGCTCCTCCGCCTATACCGCCGTTGGGGGTCTTGTTGGAGCTCTGTAAGCATGTATGCCTGATGCAGGGCTCCACTCCTGATTATTCTTTCGGGGATTACTCCTGTAGAGTTTTATCTATCAAGGTTAACCGGCATGGCAGTGGGGCAGTGGTTGGTAGGCGCCAGGACGTGTTCGTATGCCAGTGGGCCTATGCACCAGTTGCGCCATCCCTCTGGGGTCCACTGCTACTCCGAGATCCCTTGCTGATCTAGCCTGGGCCTACGCTGCACCCAGTTACACGCGCACACACACACACACACACACACACACATTACTGTTAGTTATGCAGATGACATTCTTATACAAACTAAAATTTATCGCGAAATGCAAACCACCCTGAACTAGGTACGGTCAGCCTTTGAGAATCTTGCTCTCATCATCTCCACTGAGAAAATAAAAGTATTCAACAAACAAGCTGGCGATAGCAAATGCGGATCATCAAAGCTTAAGATAGGTAAAAGACCATTAATTATATTTCCTCTAAATATCTCAGTGTCTCTATCCCCCGTATAGTCATTAAAAAACTATCTATACTAAATTGTGTTGAGACAATATAACACAACAGACGGAGGATTTTGACAACCTTACCAAGCCAACAGGAATCGTAGTGTTCATTCTGAAATTCATTGACTCCTAAGTACATATAGTATTTTGAGTGACTACTTTACCTACCATGCAACAGCTAACCCGTCAATGCATTGATAGGTTAAAACCTGTTAATGTATAGTAGTGTACAACCCATATTTTGGTGCTAATAATAGAATTGTTAAAACAATGTGCACCTAGGCTATATAAGATCTCTGATAGAATACCACCATGTATGGGTAGTGATGGTTTACCGAGTCATATATTAAAAAGCATGAGCTGAGTATTGTAAAAAAAAAAGGAATTGAAGTACCAGTGGAATTGTGAAAGTAATCGTGATTACGATTACATTTTGAATATAATCGATTACTATTACGATTACTTTGCCAAAAACAGTAATGTAATTGATTATAATTACAAATACTTTGCCCAGAATAGGAATGTAATCGATTACGATTATGATTACTTTGCCCAAAATAAGAATGTAATCGATTAGGATTACGATTACTTCGAAAATTTTAATCGACTGTAATAGATTTCGATTACAGATTATGATTACCCCATGTCTCATTACCAAGCATCAGCCCTGGGCCTTCGAGAAGGGAAAACATTCACAAGCTCAAAAAAATGCAAAATATGCCTATAGAATTACCTTAATCTGTCCTATGAGCGTTAAAGTACTTGATATGAAGAAAGAAATAGGAATACACAGTATTGAAGATACAAAGAATAATTGAAGTCAACCTCATGATAACCTTGAGGCTCTTGCATGGTGATCCAGACAACTTTGTTTCCAGGAAACTGCTAGAATATATGAGTCATGAAACTGGTGAATCTACACTACAGTATTAGGATGTTTGGACTAGTTAGAGTTGTTAGACAATCTGTACAAAGATGAGACATAGAGCGCTTTCTGCCACCCTGGCAGACAATTCCCTGCGACATCACAACACCTATGTACACGCCTAAACGATTGACCACACACAATCCTTATTTCTAATACACTGCCATTGTTAGAGCTCTTGAATACATACATAACCTACAAAGTAAAAATAACGTTACAGACCATCTACACTGACGGCTCTCTTAATACTGTCTGTCAGCTTAACGGTAATGAAATAGAGAATGGAGCTAGAATTAATAACTGGTCATTCACTCTACAAACTGAATTATTTGCGACATTCGCAGCCCTGAAATCTGTTGGAGACACTGCCACTGACATTCTCATCATCACTTACTCTTTACCCTCACTACTTGCTCTTAATACCCTAAACTCACATTGTTACCCGCTTGTCTCTAAAGTCAGACACAAGCATCTGTTTTGATGACTGGGGTATCAGGATGAAGCAGCTGTGGATCCCCTTTCAGTTAGGCATCAAGTAACTTGATCGAGTTGATGCCTTAGCTAAACTCGTATCCAACAATGACAATGTTGAGTACAAACTAGGGCTGTCAAAGAGAACCCTAAAAGCTGTGATCAGAAACGAACTTGTTCATGATTTTTAAAGCAAACAGGCAGTAGTCAATCCAATGCTTACCATGATGAGTTGTATCAAGCAAAACATGTATATTAGTCCAGTGGCAGCATAGCTGTTTCAAAGCTTGCTTCTTGAAGAGTAACATAGTGCCAACTCCCTCATCTGATACAATGAGAAAGTCTGGCCCAAAGAGTTGACCTCCACACGAAACATACATTTCCTCAATCTCAAGAGCATTCCAGATACATGCCTGTTCACTCAGCATACAGTTCACCACTTGTGTAGAATGGAATTTTTTTCTGATATAGTGTCTCTTGAAGAGAACTTGATATTACTTCTGAATGCTGACATGCATGGAGGTCACTGACAGCTGCTTGGACTTTCAGTCTGACTTTATCTGCCCAATCATCATTACGCTTGTCACATGTTTCTAGAATAGCTTCCTTGATTGTTTTTCTTGAGTTCCACGATCCGCAGTGTGACATTTGATAACACGACGCCATCGTCTTGGGTGTCGAGGATCCAACTCCAGGCATTTCTCTCCACCGAAGATACAATGTTCCTTGAAATTGAAAGGAACTTCTTCAGAGTTACGACTTCTTTTCACTTTTGGTTCAACATTGGTGTCACCTCGTTTGGAAAGGTAGCGTTTGTTGTGGTGCTTAGAAGTGTATGACGAGACACAGCTTTTGTGACATCTATATCTAGTACCCGAGTCATGTGACATTTTTTCGTGAAAAGTATCACCTCTTTGTGATACACCTACATCACATAATCCACCACAACTGTTACTACCGTTTATGTAATCTTTCAAATAACAATGCTCTTCACCCATGGTCATTCTCTTTTAGGAGTTACTTGCAATGAGAAGAAACATGCAGTTATTTAACCCATTATCATGCATATCGATCAAATGAACTGCTACATGCACACACACCAAATTTGCAATTCCCATCTAGTACTGAAAGCAGAAATAACTATCAATGACGGTTTTAATGCATTCCTTCTAAGGCTGTGGAAGTCATTATCATTATAATGAGTTAACTGTGTATAACATGCTGGTTTCATTGATAAAACTGAGTTAACGGTGAAAGAATAATTTCGAAATACATATAATCAAATTGTTGTGAAAAATTGCATGAAGTTGATATCATATTAAATTCCCAGGTGTTTCAACAGATTCCTGAGATATGGCCAAAATTAGCATTCACGAGTTACCGGTGGCGGCCATTTTGAATTTGGTCAATAAATAATTTTGCCCAAGGATGCCAGCTTGGCACCCGGCTGATTTATGATAAATAGGACCTAGTCTATCAAAAAAAAACCAGTAAAATATTGCATAGGTCTCAAAACAAGGTTTCATGGTCTGCCATCGGCCTATATGGAGTAAGGTTAAGATATAAGTACCTCTGGCAGTATAACCCTCAGGCAGATGTGAACAAAACTAGATGTAAAGTATGCCATCAGACATATGGTCACACACTTCAACTCTACGTCTTAGACTGTGAAAAAATAGAACTTTATAGATACAGATCCAAGTACATTGTGTATAAAATGGCACAGCATTTTATATCTGATGGCAAGATAGGTGATAAACTAAAGCTGTCCCCCCCCCCCACACACACACAAACACCGATACTCACTCGAAATCCATCATAATTGAGAAAACGTGGAGAAAGTTCCCCATTGGTCCGCCAATACTGAGCGAATCATTCTCATCAGCCTGGAGGTTAGTGTACGGCACCCACTTAGAGACGAGATGAAAGAAATAGGGAAAAATGAGAATACAGAAGCATATAATATAATGACAGACAAAGGAATAAGAAAGAATGAAGAATGACATCCAGTAATATCGTTGAATGTTAGTGCTATTTATGGTAAAAGAGAAACCAAAATGAAGGAAAATATAGGAGAAATATGAATAAACTGGATTAGAATACAATGGCCAATTCAGAAACAATAAAATACACTAATATTCGGTATTATTATGTAAATATTAAAGGTTCGAATAAAATATTACTTCTCTTTTGACACATTTTGCAGAAGTAATATTACCTATCGATAATATTCAAGGGGTTTTTCGGTTTAATATCTGAATTACATAATTACATTCCTGATATTATATTTTTATAACGTTGAATCTGACTTGTAACGACAAAAGAGAAAGAAACAAAGTGTAATGAGAGAGAGAGAGAGAGAGAGAGAGAGAGAGAGTATGATATTTGATGTGGATATAGAAAGGAAAAATCGATAAGTGAGAGCAAAATGTATTCCAAGAATCATGTATTAATATAAAATAATAAAAATATAAATATATATATATATATATATATATATATATATATATATATATATATATATATATATATATATATATATATATATATATATATATCTTATTTGAAATTTTATTCTTATTCAAGATGTCTTGAATAAAGACGAAAGTTAAGGTACTCCGTTGTTTCCATTTTCCCGTGTGATTTTATCAAGATTTATCTTATCCACGTTTTCATTGTGATTTACATGAAATATATATATATATATATATATATATATATATATATATATATATATATATATATAGATATATAATATATATATATATATATAAATCAGTGTGATCTAGGTATATGCTGATAACCTTCTTCCTCCATATATATATATATATATATATATATATATATATATATATATATATATATATATATATATATATATATATATATATAAATAATACAAACACTGAATCGCACAGAAACACGTACAAATGAACAGGTGAGAGAGAGAAATACACATACATGCACACACATATGTATATAATCAGACAGACGGATGCGGACATACTATATATGTGTTGTACATACACAAATGTTACACACACACACACATATGTATTGTATATAAACAGTGGGCACACACACACACACACACAACTTCTTACTACTACTTTGCTGTCATTCGGAATCGAGCTATGATAAAATGGTATGAGTTATTAAGGGTGTCATCTTCGTTGAAGAGCTCTCAGGTGACTAAAGGGGCTGATACGGGACCGGCAGGAACGTCAACAGATGTTGCACGTGTGGAGGGCTACATCTAGTACGGGAGGGGAGGCGGCAGCATCTTTCCAAACGTTGGCGCTTGTCTGCCTCGGTTTGCAGTCGGGCTAACACGAAAGTATTGACACCTCGTGTGGTGCTCCTCCAAGCATTACGGTGTGGAGTAATCATCTCCGAGGTGGGGGGTAGATTTGACACTTTTTCAGGTTTGTCTTAAGACTATCCTTATACCTTTTCAGAAGCCCGCCAGCGTTACGTTTACTGTTCGTTAGGTGACTATAAAGTAGCTGCTTTGGCAGTCTATTGTCGTCCATGCGGGTAACATGGCCAACCCAACGTAGTTGTTCATGGATAATGGTATCTTCGATGCTCCTACAGTTGTTGTCAGCGAGAATACTGGCATTTGTTCTCTTGTCTTCACAGCGAACTCGGGGGATGGAACGTAGACTACGTTGGTGAAAGTTTTCAAGTGCCTTGAGGCGCCTCCTGTATCTTGCTACCATATAGCAGGGTGGGGAGGACTACTACTCAATATACGTGCAACTTTGTAGATAATTTGAGCTCTCTACACCTGAAGACAAATGTACAGAGTTTGCCAAAGGCTTGAGATTCACATCTAATCTGATGCTGAATCTCTTCATCGATGTCCTCAGTGGTAAACAGGTGGGAGCCAAGATACTGAAAGTGGGTAACATTAGAGAGGGTAGTACCATTAAGCTGGATGGATGGGGGAGGTGTGGCTGAACCAGGAGCAGGCTGGAAAAGAATCTGAGCCTTACTTACATTCACCTTTAAGCAGAAATGTGCATACGCATCTGTGTAAGTGTTCAGGATTTCCTGTAGGTCACATTCAGTGTGAATGAAAAGGGTGAGGTTGTCTACATACTTAAGTTATATAATGGTAGCTGCCAACACTTTTGTTTCTCCCTGGAGTCGCCTTATATTGAAAAGACCCTTCATTCGGTACTGGATGTCTACCCCGCCAGCTAAATTGGCATTGGCAAGAGTAAGGAAGGCAGCAAAGAAAATGAAAAGGAGAGTTGGTGTCAGTACACATCCTTGTTTTACCCCCGTTTGGATGGGGAAGAACTCAGACTCACGATGGCGATGAAATTTGTGGGCGGCCAAAACGGCTGAGGGTCCACCAGAGGGCTTCCCTGTTGACCGAGTCGAAGGCCTTGGTTAGGTCGATGACGGTCATGACAGGTCGCGACATTGTTCTCTGTACTTTTCCTGTATATGGCGAGCAAAAAAGAGCATGTCAGTCATGCTACGGACAGCAACGAGATTCCATGGTAGTTGCCACAGTCTGACCGGTTTCCCTTGTTCTTATAAATATTGACGATGGAGGCATCTTTAAGAGCTTGGGGGATTTCCTTATTTCCTATATATTCACCAGGAGAGAGTTGAGACGGCGAGCAAACAGATCTACTCCTGCTTTATACACCTCAGCTAGGATTCCATCAGGCCCAGAGGCTTTGTTATTTTTTGTTTCTTTGATGGCAGTAGCTACCTTACCCATGGATGGAGAATAGCTAAGATAGGTCAGCTCCGGATGATGAAGGACCTGCTGGGTAGTAAGGACATCCACATCGGTGTTTCGGTTGAGCAGCGAATGGTAGTTCCCTTTTCAGTGCTGAAGGATGCCTTCTTTGTCTATAATTAGGGAGTTACTGTGTTGAGATTCAAGTTTTTGCATTTTACATGCTTTATTTTAAAACTAGTCGTTCTTTAGTTTGCTAACTTCGCGCTGGGCAGCCTCTTTCATCTTGCTGATGGCATCAGCTTTGGTCGGAGACTGAGGGTTGTTCTGCCAGTCAGTTAAAGCACACGGTTATCATCGACTAGTAGATTGATTTTCAGGTCATTTTCATCAAACTAGTCCTGGTGTATTCTTTGATCTGGCCGAGGGTCTCTAAGGTTTGTGTTATGGCAGTTTTGAGAATACCCAATTCGGCACTGGGATTTGGGTAGTTTGATGTCGGGTTTTTTATCAGCTTATGTTCAAGTTGCTCTCTGAAAGCATATGCTACCACTGGATCCTTCAGACGCTTAGTGATAAAACCTCTTCTGGAGGCTTTTTGCCTTCTCAATTTTTGGGCGACATAAAGTGAGAGCATGGCTCTGATGTGCCAATGATCAGTGTCACAGTGGTCTGGGTTACGCATGGCTCGGGTGATGAGGACTTCTCAGCGATCTCTTTCTCTGACAATGATGTAGTCAATGAGATGCCAGTGTTTGGATTGTGGGTGTTGCCACGAACCCTTGAACTTGTAGGCCTGCCTAAACAAAATATTGGTGATAGTGAGGTTGTGTGCAGCACACCTGCTGAGGAGAAGTAGGCCGTTGGGATTACACTTGACTAGTCCATATCTCCCTAGGACTCCCTGCCAAATGTTAGCATCTCTGCCAACTCTGGCATTGAAGTCACCTAGGAGCACAACCTTTTCCTCTCTAGGGATAGTGGTTAGCACCCTGACAAGGTCGGCATAAAAGGCCTCATTGATGTCATCCTTTGCATCCAGTGTTTGGGCATATGCACTGATGAAGAAGGCATAACTTGAGTGATTCTCTGGGACTCTGAGCTTTATGTGGCGCTCGTTTATCCCAACATGCATTTACTGTAAGTTAGCCTGTGTAGAATGTTAGTGGATGGCAAAGTCATCTCTATAAATAAAGTTTCTATCTGTGGGTCGATCCTCGTCTGAGAGCAGGAACTCACAAATGGCTGCTGTGTCGATGTTATACCTAGCCAGCTCTTTTGCCATAAGGGCGGTTATTCTTTCAGGACGCTCATTTGTGCCAGTATCTAGAGGGTCCTGATATTCCATACAAGGACCATAAGAGGTTGTATAGTTTGTTTTTGTTCTGATCTGTGGTTATGATTGTGTTTTCGACCGCATAAGGGTGCGGTAGCCCAGTCAGGTTGGTTCTTTAGGCAGGCTATGATTAGGGCACCTTCTCTAGCCCCCTACCCATGTGGGGTGAGTAAAGTGGCTCCTCGAAAGAGCTGCTCAGTTGCATAGACAGGACGGGATTGCACTGCTGCCTAGATCCCAGTGCACATAAACGACCATCTTATCTATGCCGCCCATGTTCAGTGTTGTGGTCTAGAGACTCTGGCAGTCATCTCTGATTGTCCCCGTCGCCACTCGTCGGTCGCCATAGTAATTTTGGGGTATAGTGGTTTTGATGATAATGTGCTGAATGGTAGCTGCACGTGAGTTGATTTATGTGGTGAAGCAAGAGTGCAGGCTGCAACCACATATCTTGTCTTTCCGCTTTCCTGATCCAATGGTGCAAGTGTTGCAACGACTAGGAAGAGGGAGAGATGCATTGGACTGCAGATAGTCCAGTATGTTGGGTTTCGCCTTAATAGTTTATCCATCCTGCATTGCCTTCGTGCACTGGAGTAGTCCTTGGGTTGGCATGTTGGTCATCTCTTCCACCTATATCGCCGTTGGGGTCTTGTTGGAGGTCTGTAAGTAAATCTGCCTGATGTGGGGTTCTACCGCAGATTTTTCGTTCTGGCTTTACTCCTGTAGCCTTATATCTACCAAGGTTAATCTACAAGGCGGAGGGGCAGTGGTTGATATGCACCAGGACGTGTCCACGTACCAGTGGGCCTATGTACCATTTCTCTGGGTCCCACTGCAAATTCGAGATCCCTTGCTTGTCGAGCCTAGGCCCACAAGGCTCCCAGTTATCGTGTGCTGCCACGAAGAGGCACAGCAGAAGTCTTGATGGTGAAGAGGTTGTACACTAGCAGGGAAAGACCTATGCAAGTTGCTTCCCTGTTCGCCACGAGGGCTAGCCAGCGGCGGTAGCTGATAGCGAGAGGAAGCAAACAGTGTTTGTACCTTAACACTAACATAATGCTGTCACACTAGATGCATTACATCACCCTGTACACACACACACACACACACACACACGCACACGGACTCACCTCCTCGGCCGCGATCCTGATGAGGGGTCTGGTGGTGGCCATTACTTAAAGAGGAGAACCGAAGCACCTCAACACGTTCTCTTCCTACACTCTCCTGATTTAGTGGTCAGTGTTCAGTAATTTAATGATATATTAGATCAGTGGTATTGTGATACAGTGGTTTAGTGGGTTTGTTTTACAGTGATCGGGTAATAAATTGTTCCAATGGTCAAATGATACTGGTACAGTGGTCTTGTGTTCCAGTGGTCCTGTTGGTTTTTGTTACAGTATTGCAGTGATACAGTGGTCCAGTGGTAAAGTGATACATTGATCCAGTAGTTTAGTTATACAGTTATCCAAGATGAGATATAGTACAGCATCAGGTGACTCACACAAGTAACCTGAAGTGACCTGACTAACCAGCACCAGGTAGCCAAGTGTAGTGAAAAAAGGTGCCAACAGATAGTATTTCTACCATCTCAGTCACTCCTCCGGTAAGATGAGATTTTAATCATTCACACGAACCTAGGACCTCAGTCATGTGTGTTTAATTGACCTTAACTCCCAACAGCCCCAGATGTCTGTGAATGCTTGTGTGGCTGTGAATACGTGAGTTTACAATACGGCCTTAGAGACTCGTTCTTAAATTAGGTGGTTTTCTCTCTTAATTATTTACATAAAGATAACGTTTGTTGTTATATTATATTTTCGTTTCATAGTTTCATCTTTAACCAGTCACATACATAATCACACTAGCAACCAGGGATAAAAATTGTATACACGGGAAAAAATTGACCTACGAGGAAGATTTTCCGTACTGTATATAGGGAAAAATTTACACACAATAGAAAAATATTGACGCACGGAGAAAATTTGACATATGTGGAAAATTTAGCTTATGAACTTTCGAGAATGAAATGTCAAGATGTCAGGTGTGCTCCTCTTAGTTAAGAGCGAGCATCCCTCTTAATACTTAATCCAAGCGCTACATATATTTACACCTGTTTCTATGTTTGTTTTATCCTGTGTGTGTGTGTGTGTGTGTGTGTGTGTGTGCGTAATAATAATAATATTAATAATAATAATAATAATAATGTTTGTTTAATTGACCTTAACTCCTAACAGCCCCAGATGTCTGTGAATGCTTGTGTGGCTGTGAATACGTGAATTTACAGTACGGCGGTAGAGACTCGTTCGTTCTGTGTGTGTGTCTGTGTGCAGATATTTTGTCCATTTATTATTATTATTATTATTATTATTATTATTATTATTATGATGATGTTGATGATGATTGTGAAGATTATTATGTTTTATATTCATTAGTAGGAGTAATAGTACTACTACTACTACTACTATTTTTTTTAAACATATGTGGCCTCCAGCCTCACCCAATAACCACACCTCCGCCGCCATTTTATTACCTTAATGTTAAATATCCTAATACATAAGTAGCTATCCTAGCTGTGTTGAATTAGTTCAGCCGCAGATCTATGCGGCATTCAGTGACTGTAGCCTCATAGTCAATATCTGGAGCTGTTGTCGGCTTTGGGGCCGAAGCTCTCGTTCCCCTGAGGCAGAGCAAAGCCGACTGAAGGAGAGAGAAGGACAGTCGACATCTCATCCAGGCTGTAACATAACTTCTGGGTTGCTGCTTCTGTTCGGAGATCACCTCCGCGAGTCTGGCGTAGAAACATCTTGCACTTGGTCCCATCCCACCAGAGGTTGTGAACACTAGAGGAGTGAAGCTGCCTTGATCAACGTTCTGAAGTCTCTCCCCGTATGCCCTTATCTTGTCGTTCTCGTTCCTCCTGTGTGCAGCATCGAGAGCTAAGTTATGGTGACATGCGGCCATGGATAAAAAATCCTGATGTCGAAGAAGGCTTGCTGTCCCCGCGTCCAGAATCCTCCAGCACTGACATCCACAGGGGCTTCGTTGGATGTGTTTGAAATCCAGTGACGGAGGTTCTCACAGTCCAATGGAAGGAGGGGTGGTTCCACCATGACGTCATATGCCTCATGCATACGAAACCTCTTTTCTTGCACACCATGGCGTGGTTGATGTCATAAGATGAGCCACACACGCATTAGGAGGGCAAACCTTCTAATGGCCTACCATAACTTAGAGCAATGGCATCTGTGAATTCTTGTTTATTAAGGATGAAGCCTTTTGCCCTTATCGGTAACATTGTTAACCAGTTCGAGGCGCCCACCTCCTGCGTTATAGCTACCTTTCTTTCAAGTTCTCTGGCACTTGCTGCAACAGTTGTTGCAGTTTATCACTTTGGGTGTGCTGCCGTTCTGTCAAAATGAACCTTCGAATCTTGTTTAATTCGTTGGTATCCACCTGACTCGCTGCATTCTGATCTATTATGTGTTCAGGGAGCTGTCGTGAGCTTGACAGAGTTCTGATGTTCTGTATCAGCAAGCTCCACTGAATTAGTAAATCCCATTCCTCCCAGTCTCGTTGGTAGTAGAAGGAGTGACTCTTCTGTTAGGGTTAAGAAGGGTTTTTCACTTGTGTTGGGATAAAAGCGACATTGATGGCTTCTTCCAGAGAGCGGAGGAGGGGTCCAATATCAGGGATAATGCGCATCAGGTAATTCTAGCTATGCTTAACTCCATGGGTGAATGCCGCAAAAGCCACGTGTCGCTCTGTTTTAGTAATATAAGAAAAAAACTTGGATTTCCTTCACCCACTCATTAACCTTTCCCGTTACGTACTCGGTCTTAAAGTCCTTCGTGCCAATTACCTCACTAAGATGTCGTTGGCCGTTCTTTGTTATTTTTACCTCGTTTCCACCGAACACCTCCATTGCCCGTTCATAGTGTTCTGGCTTCACAGTGAGGAAGGACTTGCTGGCGTTTGGATGGTACCCTATTTGTGGATCTCGTGATGTTACCAGGTCCCACCACTTTTTGATGTCCTCCACTTTTCCTGCTCCTGTTAGGTCATCAGCATACGCCACTTGCTTGACCTCGCTTGTTTCATATAATAATGTATATTGGACTATTGGAGCACAGACAACCTAGTGCGTACATTGCCATGGCGATGGGGTCCCTCTGCGTTGTTCCCTCAGTTGGTATGGTGGTATCTCCTCTTAGGGCCTTGAAGCTTGTTATAAAGAGGTCTGATTGGTTCCTGTAGGTGTTTTCAATATACATTGCGAAGCTTGGACACTTGATCATGATGTTGTGCAGTGTAGCCTTGCTGTTGATTATGTTGAATGCGTTGGAAGCGTCGACCAGAAGTACTGCCTCACAATCACGCTGCTCAAATATCTTTCTCATGGCGTGAATGGCAGCCTCCCTGCCTGGTGGCCAGCACATACTTGCAAGTTCCCAGCAGCTGCCCTGGCGTCATCATTTACCACTACTGTTACTACTACTACTACTACTACCTCTAGCAGTAGTAGTAATATAAGGGCATACGGGGAGAGAATTCAGAACGTTGATCAAGGCAGCTTCACTCCTCCAGTGTTCACAACCTCTGGTGGGATGGGACCAAGTGCAAGATATTTCTACACCAGACTCGCGGATGTGATCTCCCAACAGAAGCAGCAGCCCAGAAGTTATGTTACAGCCTGGATGAGATGTCGACTGGCCTTTTCTCTCCTTCGGTCGGCTTTGCTCTGCCTCAGGGGAACGAGAGCTTCGGCCCCAAAGCTGACAACAGCTGCAGATATTGACTATGAGGCAACAATCACTGAATGCAGCATAGATCTGAGGCTCAGTTAACTGAACACAGCTTGGGTAGCTACTTATGTGGTAGGATATTTAATTTTAAGGTAATAAAATGGTGGCGAAGTTGTGGCTATTGGGGGAGGTTGGAAGCCCCCCCCCCCAAAAGCAGTCGTAGTAGTAGTACTACATAAGAACATAAGAAAATAAGGAGTCTGCAATAGGCCGGTTGACCTGTGCATGGCAGCTCCTGTCGAGAGTTACTACCACTCTCTATCATCCATGAATCTATCTAGCCTCCTTTTGAAACTGTCCAGAGTTCCAGCACTTACTACAAAGTTGCTAAGCTTGTTCCACTCGTCCACCCAGTAGTTACCCAGTAGTACGTCGTGGCCTTGTTGAGGTATAGTGCCTAGACCAACAACAGTCGCTGACATGGACTATGAGGCAACAGTCACCGAATGCTGCATACTGTAGATATGTGGCTTAACTAACTCAGCTAGGCTAGATGATTTTGTATTAGGATAGTTAGCTAATATTATGTGAAGAGAAGGTATGGTAATAAGGGGAGGTTGGAGGCCATAAAAAATGTAGTAGTAGTAGCTAGCAGTCACTTCCTTTACGTAAAAAAAAAATATCACAGAAATATATACTTTCCTCTGATAATAATATTTGAAGATATCTCAATAGTCGTGTAACAATAGAAAAAAATATATCATTGCAAATTCTGTAAAACTGTGAGATACATTTTGCGTTCATGATGAAAGATTAAGAAATAATAAAACAAAGAATGAAAGAAAGTAGAGACAAGAAGTGAAAGAATTAATAGAAAGTATAAAGGTTTCGACTTTCCTCGTCTTTACTGTAATTATATCACAATTCTATTTTTTTAATAATCTATTAGATTATGATATTTTCAGAGAGTTATTGTATCTTCTAGCTAATTTTAGTTGTATAAGTATCGTAGTTTTTCTCAATAATATGGTTCTGGAATTTAGTTTACAGCTATTGTAAGGTTAGACACAGGTTTTACTGACTATTTTGGGTTATCGTAATTTCTTCGGATATATAGATATTGAATTATATATATGTATATATATATATATATATATATATATATATATATATATATATATATATATATATATATATATATATATATATATATATATATATATATATATATATATATATATATATCGTCATCTTTATAGGCATTTGATGTATTTATTGTAATTATCATAAACAGTGATAGGCGATTGTGGATTGTTTGTATTGTATTTTTTTTACAATGAAACTATCAATTTATCGATGTATAAATCATATATTGTAGTTTTGAAAAGGAGTTATACCAAGTTGTGGGATTGGTTTATTTATCTATTTTATTACTGTTGAGAAACGATACAGTTATTATGATATTGTGAGAAGTGATATCTGACAATGTGTAATTAAAGAAAGCTATAGTGTGTGTTTTTACAGATAAATTATTTCAAAATATAGACCTTTGATACGGCTATTGTATTTCGATTTTTGTGAACATGGTACAGCTAATTGTGGTTTATTTTATAGAAAAATTTTAAGTTCTGGCGTAATTGTTGTCATTCTTTATGGGTAGGTATCGTGTCATAAAGTACAGCATTCGTAATTTTGCAGGAGAATAGTCGCTATGGAATTATTATTTCAACTATTGTAGTTTCGTATTCAACGGTACCATAGTTATATTATTGTAACTTGTTTGTGCGGATAATGGTATCGTACAGGAACAGTTTGTAGAGATTGGATTAATGTTGCAGTATTCTGATATCCCTATACTGTATACAGGCTCGGATTTTAATACATGTATTGTAGATTAATGGGGAATGGTATAGTATTATAGCACCCATAATACATTTATTATAGTTTTATAGTAAATTGTATCGTAGTTTTGGGAACCTTAATATATGTATTATAGTTTTGAAGTGAATCGCATCGTAGTTTTATAGTTGAGTAGTGATCTAATACCGGGTTTTGAAATCTTGATGGAAGTTCAGCTATATCAGGTGTGTGGACGTAGCGTTGGTTGTACGTTAGCTGGCTGGTTTAGTGGTAGTTACTGTTTTTCGTAGGTGTATGGGCGTAGCGATGGTGGTAGTCTGGTTGGTATGGTGTTTGTGGTACGCGTGTGGGTGTAGCGACGTGGTATTTGTGGTGGGGAGGGGGCGAGGCCGTGCAAGCGTTCTGGTGGCTACTGGGTGGACCTGCTGACCATACAATAACGTCCATGTTCACAGAGGAAGACGAACAGGCCAAGTGTCATCCCTGGAAGTAAAGACAAACTTGTACGAACGCACACACACACACTACTACTACTTTGCCGTCACTCGGAATCGAGTATGACGATCATCCAGCTATGATAAAATTATATGAGTTATTAAGGATGTCACCTCGTCGATGAGCCGAGGACCGAGAATGGAGCCTTGAGGGACACCAAACAAAATTGGTGAAGAGTCAGATTGATGACTATTACGGCAGACATACTGCTTCCTATTAGACAGATATGAGGTAAACCACTTGAGGGATAAGCCCCTAACGCCGTATGTTCACTCTTTGAACGGAGGATGGTATAATCGACATTATCAAAGGTTTTAGACAGGTCCAGGAATAATCCGACTGTAAATTGACTATCATTAAAGGAGTTTAAGATGGCATTAATAAAGGATCGCAGGGCACTCTCAGTTGACCTTCTAGCTCTAAATCCAAACTGAAAGTCTGTAAGGATGTTATTGACACTGCAGAAGGAATTTAATCTACTACATGCTAACTTGTACAGTATCTTACTTAAGGCTGGGAGGACTGATAAGGGGAGGTAATTCTTGAAAAAACCTTTGTCCCCAGATTTTTTATATGCTGGGTGAACTTTAGCAGCTTTCAGTTTATCCGGAAAAATATCACTAGTGAAGAAGGAGTTTCAAATATGCGGAAGAACAGGCACTAATAGGTTGGCTACTTTCTTAATGGCGCTCATTGGTATATTGTCGTCGCCTGCTGCTGCATCTTTGAAAATTTTTATGATGGTCAATAACTCACCTACTGTGACAGGGAATAAGAATAGTTAATTTTGCTGTCAGTTTTGGTAGGGTCTAAATTCCTCATGGTGATTAGGGATGCTCTCTGCAAGATTTTTGCCAACATTGATAAAATAGTCATTGAAGTGGTTGGTAATGAGGAGGGGATTCCTTTACAATTGAATCTTTTATCATAAAAGATGAGTAGGGGCCGAAGGTTGGGTGTTCCTGTTCTGAATAGAATTTATGATATTCCAGGATTTTTACTGTTGCTTGATGTTGAGTGAAGCTTATTTGTATAATAGCTACACCTGGCATTTCTAACTGCTTGAGTTACTCTATTAGGGTGTGTCATAGGAGGGAAGATCAGCTAAAACTAATGGCCCATCACTTTTTTGGTAGATTTTAGTGTATATAAACAGAAAATAATTTCAGTTTCAATATTTTGCAACCTTTTGCTAGGTAAATTTTAGCGTGAAATTTATCGAAAATCTAACGTACAGCTGCATTAGTGCATTACAATTAAATAGTGAACATTGCTTTCTGACTTCATTCTTTAACAACCCAACTAACAATATTTTTTCTGTTTCAGATTCTGATGCATTTATAAGTTGATAATATTTGCGATGGCTGCTTGTGTCAGGACGAGGAACCAAAAATCCAGCCATCTCAGTCACTATCTTGGGTCTGGGAGAGAGCTCCTGAAGTCGGAGTTGCCTACATTGAGAGATGCTTTGAGATACGGTGTTTTAATCAGGCAAATCAGTGAAAATAACCAAAGAACTTACACAAACAAAGACATTGCCAGTGATATGACCAAAGCTGTCTTGGCACAGTACACTCTGGCTAACGCTCAGTTCAAGCCTCCAGTCATAACAGGTCAGAAGAAGATTAGTGAGAGACTGCTAGCCAGTTGGGAAAAGGCAAGAGATATCTCTCTTGGGAGAGGAAAACTTGCAGTTAAGGACAGCTTTGCCAAGCAACTGGACCAGTTATTTGACATAATTACTTGCAAGTGCCCAATTGTTCTCTGTCCTGAGTTTGGATGCGATCGTGACTGTAAATCCGAGGCCCACATCTCCTGTATTTGCAAGCGTGAACTGAAGATTCCTGTGATCGAACTGGCATTTGTCAAAGCACAGAGAGAGAAGACTGGCAGTATAGGGGCTCTCATGATTTCTAGCCAAGATATTCCGGAGTTCAAGAGACAGGAGGCTGCCACAGAGAGACAGAAGAGGAGAAGAGTTGCCGAGGAAAAGAGACTTGAGAAGGCCCAGGGTGAGGTAAAAAAGGCCGATGATTGGAGTCAAGCTGATTCAGAGTTTAAAGACTTCCCCATGGCTGATCCGATTGCTGACCAGGAGAATGGTGACTTTGTCCCTAACCCAGAAAATAATGATCCCAAACCTTCCAGGCATAAGATTCGAATAAGGAAAGATATCCCGAGCATAGCTCTGGCCAGCATTCGACACCACACTGGTCTCAGAGAAACTGCAGAGATAGCAACAGCTGCCTGGATTGACGGTGGTTTGATAACACCTGATGATGTTCACCTGGTGATAGATCATAACAAAGTAAGGAGAGCTCAGGAGAAACTTGTCAGTAACCTAGAAGAGGAGTTTGATAAGGGGATAAGAGAAAATGGAATAAATTGTTTGTTCTCTGATGGGAGAAGGGATGACACTAAAGTGTTCATGAAAGTTGGAGATTCTGACAAGTTGTTCCCTGCCATGGTGAAGGAGGAACACTACTCCTGCTGCAGTGAACCAGGAGGGAAGTATTTGTGGCATTTCACTCCAGAGAAAGATGACATCAGGAAACCAGCTGAGATAGTGGCAGATAACATTGTGAACTGGCTCAGAGAGAGGAACGTAGACCAGACTCTGCAGGCCATTGGAGGGGACAGCATCAACACGAACACAGGGTGGCAAGGGGGGGGTCATACAGTGGATAGAGCGGAAGATTGGGAGGAAGCTGGTCTGGATTGTTTGTGACCTCCACACCAACGAGTTGCCACTCAGACATCTGATCCAGGAGCTGGATGGCAAGACTCTTTCAAACAACAGATGGTCTGGTCCTCTTGGCAAGATGCTGGACTCTGCCACTGAGTTAGAAATAAATCCGAGCTTTGAAAAAATCACAGTTGGCCCTCCACTCGTTGAGCTTGCACATACTGTCATTGACGACCTGAGTACTGACCAGTACTATGGTTACATGATTTGCAGTGCCATCAAAACTGGAGTCATGCCTGATAGACTTGCTTACCTGCAGATAGGTCCAGTCTCACATTCTAGGTGGCTCACAACGGCTCTCAGGTTCTGCAGAATTTGGGTCGCTCATCATAAACTGAAAGGGAAACAGCTTCACAACCTGAGACTTATTGTCCAATTCATCGTGAGTGTCTCCATTTGCCAAATTGGTTCAACACTGTCAAGTCATCGTTCTCCCGAAGGTCTGAGGTATGTGTTCTCTTCCAGCTTGAGCTCCTGGAGGAGCCAGCCAAGGAAGGTTGTTCAGATTGTGGAGCAGACTGTGAGGAGATTCGGTATGCTCATCCGAAGAAAGTTCGCAGACAATGCTCTGCAGCAAGGATGAGGAGGAGAGAAGAGTGGTACAGTCAAAAAGATCTTGGATATGAGACTTAAGAGGATCTGGGCATGACGAATCAGTTGGTGACGATTCCTTCAGGGTCAGGAAGACTCCTGAAGTCAATCTAGGTGCCAAGACCCTCACTGATCTCATAGATCTGGATAACATCCAGGCTGGCAGTGAGCCCCCTCTTACCTGCAGCCTCACCAATGTTCAAGTCAGAGCTTTCCTGGACAACCCCATGCATGTCCCTGCCTGGCCCTCGCACACCCAGAGTATAGAGCGTTGTGTACAGCAAGTGAGCGAGGCCAGCAGTCATGTGTACAGCCAGGAGAGGAGGGAAGGCTACATCCGAGCTCAGGTGGTCAGCAGGGAGGTGATGAGTAGAAACAGAAGCAAGAAAGACATGTTCTCTATGGTGTGCAGCAACACCGGGTCGTAGTAGTAAAACCGGTTTTTGTATTTGATGATTTTGTTTTCTAAAGGAATATTAAATTTAATAAATGTGTCAAGATCATTCGTTTCACTATTCTGGATCATTTTCATCCTAATAAATTAACCTGATACATTTACTTTACTTTAAATAAGCTATTTAGTGGTGTTGGTAAAAGGGTGGGAATACTGAATTTTCATAAGATTTCAAGTTAAAATTTACCTAGCAAAAAATAAAAAACTTTTCTAATCTGAAGATATCACATGATTCTGCACATAGAACTACATCATTAATACCATGGGCCGATTTTTCAAAGTAAAAAAAAAAAAAATTCGCCTCCGTATGACACACCCTATTACTCTATTTCTGATATTTCGGTAAGCATCACCGAAAGATATGGTCTTTTTGCAAAATTCCTTTGGAGTTTGTGTTTTTCTTTTATGATTGCCTTTATTTCACTTGTAATATAGGGTTTGGGGTTGGATACAGTTTTCACTGACTTATTCTTGAGAGGGAAGCATTTATCAAAGAATGCATTGAAGATGCAAGAGAAGTTACAGCAGCTTACATTAGGGTTGTCGGAGGCATAGACAAGATCCCACTTAATAGTCAGTAAGTTGTTTTAAAAAAGGAGCATGTTGTCGGCGCAGTAGTCTTTGTATTAGACCTTTTAGATCTTGTGACTGATTTGTACATGACAAAAACTGGAAAGTGATCTGAGATATTGTTATACATAATTCCCCTTGCAAGATTGTTATGAGTGTTGTTAGTCCACAGTGGTATTGGTGACAGCTACTCTAGTGGGTTTGGTTATAGTGTTGAATAAGAGCTTTGAATGACAGATAGCAAGGTCTAATACTCGGTTTCTGTGGGGGTTTCTGTGTCGTTACGTAATTCAGTGAAAACACTCTCCATGAACTCCTCCTGAACTTTTAAATCGTCTCTTACAGAAGTGTTATATTTATTATCAACATATAGGGCGACACTACCACTGTGTCGTGACGTGTTGACACAGTGTATATTATAATTAGGAATGTTATACAAATGTTTTATATCGTTAGTAAGTTTGGTCTCGCAGAACCCAAATACATCAAATTTGGGGCAACAGAAGATATACACTGATCGAAAAAGGTATCTAAGTGAAGGGGAATACTGCTGATGTTATGACTAATTAAGGGGAATAACTAGAACTAAACTCAGGAGAGTCAGGAAAGTAATAGTTGCAATTGGGCTTGGTGTAACCCGGTGAGTTTTGTAGAAAAGCATAGGGTCAATATGAGGGATTATTGTGTCGACACCATGGGTGAAAGGGGTATAACACATACGGTCCAGTACATCTAAGTCTAAGGGAACGACACTAGCATCGTCTTTGTAGAAATATTGGTACTGATCAAGGAACAGCAAAAACTCAGGGTCACTAAGGTGGAAAAAGGAAAGCCAAAGAAAGTTATAATAGTAGGGGGTAACGTACTCACAAGTGCTACAACCGACAGAATTAAGATAACTGGTACTGTTGAGTCTCGCAGTGGTCTGAGCCACGCATGGCTCGGGTGATGAGGACATCTCGGCGATCTCTTTCTCTGACACTGATGTAGTCAATGAAATGCCAGTGTTTGGATAGTGGTTGTTGCCACGAACCCCTGAACTTGTCTGGTGATAGTGAGGTTGTTTGCAGCACACATGCTGAGGAGGAGTAGGCTGTTGAGATTATACTTGCCTAGCCCATTTCTCCCTATGATTCCCAGCCAACTTTGGCTTTGCAGTCACCTAAGAGCTTAACCTTATCTTCTCTGGGGATAGAGGCTAGCACTCTGGCAAATTTGGCAAAAAAGGCCTCCTCTGCATCCAGTATGCACTGATGAAGAAGGCAGGACGTGAATGATTCAGTGGGACTCGGAACATCATGAGGCGCTCAATGATCCTAACAGGCATTTCAATTAGCCTATGTAGGATGCAAAGGCGGATGGCAAACCCAGCTTCATATATGCGGTTTCTCTCCGCAGCAAGTTTACCCTTCCAGAAGGTATAACCAGACCCCCGTTCTGTGAGTCGACCCTCGCCTGGGAGCCGGGACTTACTTATGGCTGCAATGTCGATGCTATACCTAGCCAGCTCAATTGCCACAAGGGCGGTTTTTCTTTTAGGACACTCATTTTTGCCAGTATCGAGAATGGTCCTCACATTCCATGCAGAGACCATAAGAGGTTGTATAGTTTCTTTTTGATTTGATCTGTGATTTGGATTGTGTTTTCGACCGCATAAGGATGACCTTACCGGGTGCGGTTGCCAATTCAGGTTGGTTCTTTAGGCAGGCTATGTTTAGGGCACCTTTTCTAGCCCCCTCCCCAAGTGGGATAGGCAGAGTGGCTCCTCGAATGGGTTGTTAAGTTGCACACACAGAAACGGATTGCACTGCTGTCTAGATCCCAGTGCATAAACGACGGTCTTATCTATGCCGCCCATGTGCAGAGTTGTGACTAGTGACTCCCGGTTTCCATGTTGGTCACGTCTTTCGCCTATTCCGCCGTTGGGGTCTTGTTGGTGCTCTGTAAGCACGTCTGCAAGATGCGGAGCTCCAACCAAGATTCTTCGTTCTGGGTTTATTCCCATAGCCAAGGCTAATCCACAATGCAGTGGGCAGTGGTTGATAGGCGCCAGGGCGTGTCTACATGCCAGTGGGTCTATGCGTCATCCCTCTGGGACCCATTGCTGCTCCGAGATCCCCTGTTGATTTAGCCTTGGCCCACGAGGCACCCAGTTACAGTGTGTTGCCACTAGGAGGCATAGGGGGGAGTCTTCATGTTGAAGAGCCTGTGTACAGGCAGGGAAAACTTATGCAAGTTCCTTCCCTGTTCGCCACGAGGGCTAACCAGATGTGGAGCTGAAAGCGAGAGGAAGCAAGCAGTGCTTGCACCATAACACTAACGCTCTGCTGCCACACAAGACGCATTACACCACCTTACACACACACACACACACACACACACACACACACAGGCACCTGATCAACGACGCTCTATTGGACACTCCTCACAGGTGGAAATACGTGGATGACTGCACTTTGTGGGTTACGGTGGATAACACCTCACCTCACCGGACTACTCATCGCTACACGGCACCCTGGACAGGCTACAGGCATGGACTATGGAGAAAAAGGTCACCACTAATCACACCAAAACCGTAGTCATGAACTTCAGTACTACCACCACTCCAGTGCAAGCTCCAGCAGTTACAGTGGGTGCCCATCCTTTCCAGTTAGTGCAGTCTGCCAAACTCCTAGGTGTAACTATAGACCACAAACTGGACTGGAAGGCCCATGTAAACAACACTATCAAAGCAGCCTCGTACCGACTCTACATGCTACGACGACTCAGGTCATTTGGGGCACCGAAGCCAGAGCTGAGGACTATCTACAACGCATTTATTCTCCCTAAATTAACGTATGCGTCACCAGCCTGGTCGTCTTCTTTCAACTCTACCCAACAACGTCAGCTAGAGAAGGTACAGAAGAGGGCCTGCAGAATCATGCTCGATGCAGATTACTCTGGCAACAACAACGATCTCTCCACCCTGGAAATGCCACCCCTCAGTGACCTCCACCACCACGCATTAGCAGGGTTTGGCAGTGGACTACTGCACCATCCTCGCCATCGCCACCTACTACCACCGGCAGTCCCCCGCCCACCTCGTGCAGTCCTCTACTACAACAAAATTCAGCCCATAAGAACCCCGCTGATAGATATAAGAATAGAACCATCCCATCTATTGTTAAAATAATAAACAGCTCCTGATTTATGTACTGTACAGCCCTGTAAATGTATTGAACGTATATTATTATGTCTAAATCACATGTAAGTTTGTATATTTTCAGCCACCGGCTGCAACTCTATTAATAAACCGTTTAATATTATTTTTTATTATTACACACACACACACACACACACACACACACACACACACGTATGCAATATTACTTTCACCTCTCAAAGGCGTTAACGAGTATGATTAATCTTATTTAAAGATTCTCAACGTCCCATTTAAAAATTTCCTCACCATACCACTAAAGATTCTCAGTATACAACTGAAAGAAACTGAACATACTGTACATACGACATAAATATTTTTAGCACACCACTTAAAGATTCGTCGCATACCATTTAACAATCAACACACTTCTTCAAAATACCCAATATACCACATAAAGATTCTCAACATACCATTTAGAAATATTCCACATCCCACTTATAGATTTTAACATACCCCCAGAGAGGACGAAGAGGGGCCCCAACAGGGCGTCTAGGTTAAGAGCGGTGATTCCGTCCCGGCGATCGGAGGAGGGAGGACGGAGGCACTGTGAAGTGTTGGTGATCTCCGACCTTAGCCACTTGGCCAGTAGTCCTGCCTCCTTCACCTTATAGATACTGTGACGAGAGAGAGAGAGAGAGAGAGAGAGAGAGAGAGAGTATCTACAGTACACAAACACTATATCCATGATAAATATAGATGAAAAACAGAACTCCAAATTATATAGATATTAGAGTAAAAAAACAAATAAATAATCCATTTTTTTAACATAGCATTTATTTAATATTTCTCATGTAAGATTCTCAACTTTTTATAACGACCGTAGTTAATGTCATCTTCTTTATAGACTCACATCGTATTAGCTTTGGGAAGAAGGGACGAGTTGGTTCTGAAGGCCATGGCGAACATTGAGCTTGTAAAGACCTTCTCACGTCCTATGTACAAGTGACATTTCCCACTTGTGCTGTAAACACCAAAAGAAAGCTCTTAATAAATACCAGATTTTTTTTCATTTGACATAGAGAAGGTTACAGGGTCATAGGCAGAGAAAAGTGAAATGTTCATTAAGCAATTTATGCCTAAACCAATTAAATATTCGGGTTTAAAACGTTTAGGAGTAAACCAAAACATATTTATGAACCAGTTGGTTATTTACGACAAGTTGATAAACTACTAGTAAAGAGAAACAAATTACATCCCCACTATTTTATCTGGATATTTAGGAATATATATATATATATATATATATATATATATATATATATATATATATATATATATATATATATATATATATATATATATATATATATATATATATATATATATATTATAAATATATATATATATTTTTTTTTTTTACTATGTAGGCCAACTTGTGAGCTGTGGCGAAGACCAATATTTAAAAATAATATTTGACACCTTGACTGTAGGAAGGACCAAGACAATATAAATTACAGGAATCATTAGACCTTACATGTTTAACTTAATTTTAATTTTTCATTTACATGACAGTATTTAAGGGACTCATTTGGTGTTTTTCCTATTAAGATCAAACACATGTACTGTACAGTGCATGACAGGATTACCAATAAGGGAAGATTGGTGTTACAACATACAAAATATACCACCTAAAGTCCCAGGACATGGCCTTTTTCATGGTGGTCTCGTCACAGATGGCAGCAAACTCCCCGCTGGCGATGGCCTGACGGGCCGACCAACAGTCAGGGAAGGTGCCGGACGTCCCCCTCACAGCCTTCTGCCTTACAGGGTCTCCAGACTCCTGCAGGTGGTCAAGTTGGGATTCTGAAGTTGTAAGTTGTGTCTCGGTGACGTGTTTAATACGAGTGTTAGCTTGTTTGATTAAGATGTATTACTAGTGTTTTAAACGTACAGGCCAATGGAATTACGCGATTATTCCACGAACAAAAGTAATTTCGGTTTTTGGGTCACCAAGGATTACTCAGATTTAAACATACAATAATTAATCCTCATCATAGGTTGTACAATAAAAGCTGGCTTCTGGGCAAATATAACTTGGTATTAATATTTTCTAAGTCATCATTTCAAAAACCTCTTTAGTATAGCATGTTATACCAGCTGCATTTCTATATATTTACCAGGAGAAACTTATGAATCATCGACCCCTGCTCGAGACGCCAGGGCAGGTCAGACTGTGCAACCAGGTCAGCCAGGGAGTCTATAGGGATGGTGACCCGCGGGAGGGTCAACATGGCCGTCAGGATGCCGCTATAGGAGGACATGAACACTAAGGAGGCCAGGAGCCACGTGGTTACTATAAGGCGGCCTCCGTCCTTCTTGGGCAGCCACTCAGAACCTGTGGGAGGATGGAGGAAGCTTGTCTTCTCTTACAAGTCAGAAACATTACTGGAGTCTCAGCAAGTAAATAAATGTTATTGTTGATAAGTTCTGTTCTACATGTTCCTGGCTTCTTAATAATTAAAGTCTTAAAGGACATGCACTTTTTATTCAGTTATCTGTTCCTAAAAAAGACTGATTATTGAAGGATTTCTTGTATGGATACGAAGGAAACAATAATCAGTAGCGAGAGAGAGAGAGAGAGAGAGAGAGAGAGAGAGAGAGAGAGAGAGAGATTTCACCTGGTATACTTACTCTCTTGCGTTAAGGTCTTAATTGCCCACATGGACACTTTAGAGGCGAGGTTCTTGGTGGTGATGTCGAAGACCTTCCCTTCAGCCCTCGTCATCAGCACCATCACCACGCCCACGCACAACACACTCATCAGGACCAACACCCATACCTGGTAGTCATAGATAGATAGATATAGATAGATAGGAGAGGCAGGTACACAAATAGATATAGATAGTCAGCAAGTTGCATAGTTGGTACTCAAAAAGAGACGGGCAGATATGTAGATATATCTATCGGAAAACAGATAGTATTAGGATTAAATCCTAACTTATGTAAAGTTCACATAATTAACTATATCCTGATGTAATTATTCGGGTCCTTATCAATGTTTTGTACTGAGGACTGTAGCAAGTTTTGTTTCATTCAGACAAATTAACTCCACGGTTCTTTGTCAGCAACATGTGAGGGATTGCCTGTATGGCCACGTGGTTGTAAGGAGGCGACAGAGACTGGATAGTGGGAGGAGGTAGTCAGAGACCAGCACTGACAGTGGGTACAAGACTGCAAGGGATCAAGGTGGGCTCTACATTCCAATACTAACCCCAGCTGACCGTCGTATGTGTGTGTGTGTGTTTCATATCTTACTTCCCGCCTATCCGCCCTACTGTCTCGTTCATCAGACCCTCAGCCACAAGTATACATAAACATCTACGAAAGTACAAATAACCACCTAAAGGTGCGTCTACACGTGCGTACATTTTGTTGCCAACAGGTGATCGACAAGACGAAATGAGGTACAGGGTTCTGACTCGGGTAGGGTGTGGCCGCGTGCACTAGATCGGTGTTTCCTCTTGTTAATCACATGTTGGCGACAAATATAATGTTCGCGCTTGTGGACGTACCTTAAGACACACTCACGTGTACTTTATATTTATATATATGTACTTTCGTTCAGTTTAGTTTTATGTTTTCGATTATGTTAAGGATATATTATATGCGAATTATACTAAATGTTAATTTTCTTTATAATTTTTATTATCCCCTCATACTGTGCAGTGTGCTATCATTGTAACAACTGGTGTCTTCCCTTCTAAGGAATATTGGAGCCACGAATTTGCCATACACTAAAAAAATCATTTTAATAAGGCATTCAGTAGGGCAACATTACATAAAAACTTGAAAAATAAAGATAAATAGATAGACAGATTGATAGGAAAATACATAACTAAACAAGCATATATATATTTATATATATATATATATATATATATATATGTATATATATATATATTTCATTAGCCCATAAAGCGCTCGGACTTCTACATATAATCAACAACCTCACCCCGCCAGGACTCGAACCCACGATCTTCTGTGTGTGACCAGGGAACGTTACCTCTAGACCACTAGGACACTAAGAGCAATCCTAGAGTTTGTTATATTTCACACAAAGCCTGTTCATCGAGATTATGCCGCCGTGAACCTCCAATAGGAACATCGTGTTTCGAAGCCGGATTTGGTAAGACGTTACTCTGATCACTTACGAGGCACGGGTAGTCCCCTATTGAGTTCTCGCGCCATAATCTCGATGAACAGGCTTTGTGTGAAAATATAACAAAGTCTAGGACCTTTTAGTGTCCTAGTGATACAGAGTGGAGTTCCCTGGTCACACACATAAGATCGTGGGTTTCGAGTCCTGTCAGGTTATATATATATATATATATATATTATATATATATATATTTCATTAGCCCAATAAAGCACGCGGACTTCTACATACAATCAACACCTCAACCCAGAGATTCAGACCCACGACAAGCCTATGAGTGTGACCGAACGTAACGCTGGACCACCAGGATACTAAAGCAGTCCTGAACTTTGTATATTTACACAGCCTGTTCAACGAGCTTATGGCGCCGTGAACCTCAATGGGACCACCCGTATCCGAGGTGGTCAAGTAACGTTTTACCAAATCCGCTTCGAAACACGAGGATCCATATATATTTCATTAGCCCAATAAAGCGGACTTCTACATACAATCAACACCTCAACCCGCCTGGATTCGAACCTACGGCCCACAAGCCTATGACTGTGACCGGGGAACGCGTGCTTTATTGGGCTAATGAAGTATATATGGATCCTCGTGTTTCGAAGCAGGATTTGGTAAAACGTTACTCTGACCACCACTGATACGGGTGGTCCCCATTAGGGTTCACGGCGCCATAAGCTCGTTGAACAGGCTTGTGTGAAATATAACAAAGTCTAGGGCTGCTTTTAGTATCCTGGTGGTCCAGCGGTTAGCGTTCCCCGGTCACAGTCATAGGCTTGTGGGCCGTGGGTTCCAGGCGGTTGGTGTTGATTGTATACATATATATACACATATTGTGATTTGACACCGAGACCTACAGGATTCTCACCTCTGCAGGGAACCCCGAGACGTCACTCTGCAAGCCAGGTCGAACCATCAATATGGCTTTATTGTCGTACTGGAGAGCCACTGTGAAATCGCTCACTGACTCTCTCTGGGGCGTGACAGTGAAGGGGCCAAGAGCGAACTCCACCTCCTGAAGAAGGTGGCAGGAAGTGGCCTTTAATGACATTCTTCCGTAGGTGTGTGTAATAATAATAATTAATAATAACAATAACATTGAACTATGTCAGCCAAAAGGCTGAAGATATAGTTACATAATTGTGGAAGGTACACTTGATTGACAAATAATATATAAGTAACATTTGTGTGTGTATGGGGGGGACTGCAAATATATCCTAAATTTCTCCATCAATGTTTCAAAGTAGGGCAGTTACTTTTCCCTACTAAGGTTTCTTCACCAAACACTTACTTCACCAAAAGATATCGAGTTCATCAAACAGTTACTTACCAAGAGAGTTAAATCTTGAAAAACTTCACCAAGACAGTTACTCCAAAAAATATTTCACCTCGTCACTTATTTTGATATATAGTTACTTCAAGAAACCCTTTACCAAAAAAATTACTTCATCAACAGCTTTCTTCACCATCAACCCTTCTCTACAAGAAGGTAATTTCTCTAAATTACACACTTTCACCAAGCACCTCTCCCCAATCACACAGTTTCATCCGTCATTCACTTCACCACTTAAGACTTACTTCTCTGATAAAATTCTGAGTTGCTTTAAGACCTCTATGTGGTCTACCTCACTAGA